CCCGCACTCTGAACTCCCTCCAAGTCCAGGCTGGAACGGAGATTTCTTGGACTTCCTGGGGTTCCTAACCAAAAAGTGGGTATGAGCAGACCTACTCCAGGCCCCACCTGCTCCCTTCCCTTCCCATTGTGGTCTTTGATGCACGTCAGGTGACAAAGACAGCTCTTTGTGGGTCTTTTCTGGTCCTACTTGTCCCACCAGCTGTGCCAGGATGGCGAGGCCCTCACATTCCTTTCCACAGATCACAGCTCGGGTTGTTTATGAGGCTGGACATCATGTGTGATGAGGTAATGTCTCCCCCAGGGGAAAAGCAGGCTATTTACTATTTGCTATAAAGGCAGAGGCCCCCAGGACTGGGGGGGGGGGCAGGGGACGCTGCTCATGCTGCGCAGGGGATTGAGCACAGCGCAGTGAAGCTGTCCACAGCCTCTGCAGCACGGGTTCAATCCCCAGCTGGCCAGGGAGATAGCCACAAGGCGCAGCAGACCTCTCCTGTCTCACCTGCTGCCCCTCTCAGCAGTGTTTTCGGTCCATCTGCCTGTTCTGCTCCCCACTCTGTCTGTGGTGAATCCTCTTACCCTTCCTCACCTCTGGCCTGTACCCTAGTTCTTATATGTATAAATAAATAAATAAATCTTAAAAAAAAAAAAGCAGTGGCCCCCAAGCTCAGGTTCCTTATCTGGGACCACACCCTCCGGTACCACAGCACCCACCGGATCCATCATGAAACCTGGGAGGAGGCGGGGAGCCAATGCTCGTGCTGTTGGCTGTGCTGGGAGTAACATCGCTTTGTGTCTGAGCCGGGAATCTCGTGTCTTTTGTAAATCAGATCAAACTGAATCTCAGATGGGGCAGGTGCACACCTGCCTAGGTTCAAACCCCACACACAGCCCCCACAGAGAGCTGACCCCATCAGCATAATGGGTGGGCTACTGGTGCCCTGACTTCCCTTCAGAGAACAACTTCACACGGGCCTGTGAAATAGGCTAAGACCCTTTGGGCAAGGAATTCTAGATTCCCAGATACCAGGCATGGTCTATAGGGGCAGAGAGAAGCTCCCGACTGGCACATGACCCACAGTGCCCAATGACCCCTCTATCTCAGAGACAGCTGTGGGCAGAGGGGAGCCAGCACACACAGGGTCCTTTAAAACATGAGGGCCAAGAACAGGCCTCTGTTCAGGTCTAAATTTAGCCTTGCAGGGCCTCCCTGGTGGCCTAGGGGTTAAGTCCAGTCCCAGCACTACCACTGCAACAGCCTGAATGTGATCCCAGGCCAAGGACTAATCCACATGGCACAGCAGACCTCTCTGTCTCCCTGCTGCTCCCCTCAGCAGTGTACTTCAGTTGATCTGCTTGTTCTGTTCCCTGCTCTGTCTCTGGTGAATCCTCTCACTGCCTGCACCTCTGGCTTACACCCCAGTTCTTCTATGCAAAAATAAATAAATCTTAAAAAAAAAAAAAAGTTGGCCTTACACTGGAGAAAGTCAGCGGTCCTATGGACAAGGTTAGTAGCAAGAGAAATCAAGGTAAGCACAAGTATACAAGTGGTGAGTTCTTGTCCCTGTGTCACCTCAAAATCTTTGGATGGCCTAACATCACAGGCCTGTTTCCCTTCTGTAAAGTGAGGCAGTTAGCATGATCTCTGAAGCACACCTCAAGTATAAACTCCTGTGATTTCAGATCACGGCTGGAGGGTCAGAGTGTAGCCTCACAGTCCAGCAAGGCAAGAGGGCAAACTAATAAGGGCCTGGAGCAAACTGAGTCATGAAATGATGGACTGGGCCATGCTGAGCATCACTCGTGGGGTGACAAGGGGTAGGGGTGGGGGCGAGAGAGGATTTCTCAGCAGTGAGACAGGGGAGGGCCATGCAGATTGCTGGCAGCTGCATACTGGCCTTGCCCGGACTTCATCGTTAAATGTATTTCCTGGTGGAGCAGAGAAGGGCCCCTGGGACACTACCTCACACTCCTATTACGCTTCTCCTGATGACTCGCAATTAGAGGTTCACTCTAGCAAGGGGTGTGAAGGCGCCTTCTTGCTGCAGAGCCTCCTGGGGCGGGGGTGGGGGGTGGAGAAGGGGTAAGAGGATTTCACCTTCTCCCTGTCTCAGCCCTCCTGAAGCTTCCTGGGCTCAGATACCAGGGGTTTTCCCCCTAGAAATGAATACTTGTGTGAGGTAGCTTGTGCTAGGAGCACGACACAATACAATGCTGTACCAGGAGTCCAGTCCAGTCAAAGGAGTCAGACTTGACCCATCATCCAAAGACTCATTTTCACCCGAATTGAAGAGTCCCAAAGGGTGACACACAGGAGGGGGGAGATACAAAGAGACACCTTGTATCTCTCATTTGCTCACCTGTCTTTCCAGCCACGTGGCATCCAAGGTCCCCCACCCCACTGTCATTCTCCCAAGACAGCAGTCATGACTATCTGGGCCCCGCTACCTCCAGAGGGCACTAACACGAGAAGCAAGAGGAGGAACACAGCCCAGGTGTGTGCTCCCTGGACCCAACCCTGCCCTTGGTTCACCCGAGTCACTGCCACAGTGTGGTGTGAGCAAAGGGTCCCTAAAGTCTCTCTACACCCTATGGCCCAAACACAAACTCCCCAGGGCCAGTTCAGGGCAGGTGCTCACCAAGGTGTGCAAGGTGGTCAGAGGCTTTGGCTAGTGCAGTGCCCTAAGCCTGGGAGAGAAGGAGAGTGCAGGCCCCTCCCCCTGCTGTCCCGGGGCGGCTCTCTCTGCCTGTATTTCCTTGACCTCTCAAGTTAAAACACATAAATCTGCTGTGTTGGATGTGAGGGCCCTAGGAGCCCCTGATAATATCTGTGGGAAGATTAGTTAATTGTCAGCCATCACCACCATAGAGAGGTTGTCCACGGGGATAAGAACTGAAGAGGGAACAGAAATGGGGGGACTGGTCACCAAGGCCTCTGGGTGGGGACAGTGGAAGCTCCTGACAGTCCAGGGTTTGGGAAGGGTTCGTGGTGAAAGGGAGGAGAAAACACCAACAAGCTTTCCTGTTTTGCAGTTGACGTCATTTTTTTGGTTTTGAATGGAGGTTCCAGGAAGCTAAATGACTGGGGACGTCTCCACGCAGTCAGTGAAGGAGAGAAAATCACCAGCTTGCCAGGAAGAACACGGGTGCCCGCGCTGAGCCTCTGCTGCCCCCACGTGGCCTGGGGAAGACATGGCCTGCGAGTCCTAGACAAGGGAGCTGGACCAGACTCTGGATGCGTGCTCCGCAACAGATTCCTCTTCCCCTTTTCACCAATCCATAGCCCGGATTTATTCCACCCATGAACACGGGCTAGCATGGGCAAGGGAATGCCAATCAGCTCAGGATGCTGATGAGGACAGAGACTCTGGCTGGGGGGCTTGGACCCGGAGAACCACTTGGTAGAAGTAAAGGTGGAGATAAGAAGGGATGAAGCTTCAGGAGACTCAGAGCCAAAGGTAACCATGAGGCCAGCATCCTAACTTGGTATCAGAAACCATCTCCTTTGCCTCAGGGGATCTGGCAAGACCACGAGGAGCTGGTGATGCCCCCCTGCTGTCTGTCTGCAGCGCACTGCAGTGACTGCCCTTGACCCGCTACGCAGGCACGTGTCCCAGAAGTGCAGAGAAGCCCAGAGTGGTCACAAAGCTGCTGTTCCCACCTGGGACTGTTTTAACTCATGGCTAGATGAACCTGCTGTTTGAACAACAAACCACGAAGAATTCAGGACACGGGAGTCACACTGACAGTCCTTATCAATGACCTACAAATAGATTTTACCTGATCTCTTAATATTTTGCAAAATTGTTAAGCATTAATGTTAAGCCTTAAAATGATTAATATTTTGCTCACCTAGAAGTCAATTTTTCTCTGCTTGAATTGTTACAGCTATAATAATAAAAGGCAACAGAACCCCCTGAGCAAATACCTACACTTATTAAAGTGTAGATAAGCACAAATACAAACACACTCACCTCTGGTTGAGCCTCCCCAGCTTTGCAACCCTAATCCTTCACCCCTTTCTTTTGCATGTGACCCAGGGACAAATCTCGACATGACTCCAGAACCAGACTTCCTGCATCCAAATGCAGCTCTGGTGTTTACTGTGTGACCTGAGACTAGTCACCTAACCTTTGTGAGTCTCAGTTATATGAGACTCAGTTATATGAGACTCACTTTATATGATGGGGGTAGCAACAGGATTACTTTATATTTGTGGTTGTTAGGAGGTTAAATAAGATAATCTCTGTGCTTTTTAAATATTTATTTTTATCATAAGAACTGGGGCGTAAGCCAGAGGTGCAGGGTGCGAGTGAGAGGATTCACCAGAGACAAAGTAGGGAGCAGAACAGGTGGATTGACTGAAACACACTGCTGAGGGGAGCAGCAGGTGAAACAGGAGAGGTCTGCTGTGTCCTATGTGTGTCAGCTCCTTGGCCAGCAGGGAGGCCTATAATATAATATCTGTGAAGTGCTGAAAACAGTAAGTGCCTGGTGCAGAATGTATGAGAGGAACTCATTCACTCCCTCTGTTCTATAGTTAATTTTAAAAATGGATTTGAAATATTTAACAAGCTAATTAATGTAATTAATGTAATGTAAAAAAATAAGCTTGATTTTCTTCCTTTTTTCATGAATAAACACCATTTCGTACTAAAATTGGGTGACAATAAAGAGACCAGTGCCTCCTTGTCTGCCTCTAAAGTTTAATATCATTTTCAGGAGACTCTAACTCCCCCACGCTTCTTCCTTAACCCCTCTAGCTCAGCCTTGGTCAGGATCAGCCTCTTCATCATGCCATGTCTTTTAGGAAAAGCAAAGAACTCCATGTGCGTGCATGTATGTGTAAGCGTGTCCTGCAGGAACAGGTAGGCAGAGCACAGCCGTCCTGGGCATCCTGGCACAGGTCCATCACCAATGCTGTCTCCCCCACCTTCCCTCTAGCCCTGGGCCTGCCCCACCCCAACCTTTACCTGGCAGCCCCATTGGCTCCTCGCTTACCTGTTGGTGTTCTCCAGAGACTCTACCTTCTTCCGAAGCTCCAAGTTCTCAGTTGAACATGACTCCACCCTATTGCAGAGAGAAAGAAGAAAATTAGTTTCATAGTAGAGCAAATGCTAAGGCAGAAACTTGCGGGGCGGGAGAGGGGAGTCAGGGAAAGATGGGGAACCAGTTACTCTCATGAAGTGAGGGAAACAAAAGAAAAGTAGAACCGAGTAACAAGTGCCTCAATATAGAAAATATAAATTTGGTTGTGGGTGTTTCAGCCTCGCTTTCTCTCGCCTCTTCCCTACTGCCCTCAATGCCCAGCACGGGCCTCTCTACCCGGGTGCCTGTGTGCTGCTGACTGTACTCTGGCCACAGCACTGACAGGAGTCATGGGCTTGAGGGAGACACAAATTCTCAAGATAAGGAATGGGGTGCTGGTACATGCATGCCCCAAAGAGCAACAAAAAGATTCTTATCAGAACCTCTTGACCCTGATCGCTACGGAAAATGAGGGGCCAGGTGGGACTGCTTAATGCTATGTGACCAGTCCCTGAACCAGGAGATACAAACATTAACTTTCAAAAGCAACTTCCAAGCCCAGCCTAGAGCCACTGAGTACTCCTTTCCCCAAACACACATGAAGACTCTTTTCTGGGCCTGGGACCTCTTCCCATCTTAAAATGACTTGGGCAGCTGGGGAACTATTTTCCAGACCAATGCAAAAATCATAATGAGCTCATATTTTTCCAACAGCCCTTCTTATTTTCAAGGTTTTCCAGAAGAACAAAGAATGCCTTGAAGTGTGTCTGTGGAAAGTCACTCACCTTAGAGTATAAATGAGAGTGGGCAGTAAAGAAGGAAGGGCATCCTGACTTATCTCATTCCTTGTTTGCTATCTGTAGGGCCCAAGGGAGGATGAATCAGCAGGGCAACTTTCAACCAAAACAGTGGCTCTCCTCTGAAGAGTTTCAGGAATACGAATGAATGTTCATATTTGTACATGTTGAAGAGGAAGTTACCAAGGAGTGGGCTAGAGGCCATGTGGGACAGATACCTACTATGACAGAGGGAACTTTTTATTTCTTAAAATATTTCCAAGCCTTTCCCTGTACAAACCAGTAGGTGGCAGGTAAGACACAGCCGAGAACCCGAGGGCTCTAACAGGGTCCAAAGAGGACTTGAATCTCTTCTCAAGAAAAACATTATGTTCCCACTCAGGTTTCTCTAATGTTCCCCCATAAGCACAACCAGCGCAGCAGGGGGCTTACTTTTTCTCCAGGCTGTCCATGTATTCTTTCTTCTTCCTCCTACTTTCCTGGGCAGAAATCTGAGACAGAAGTGGGGTGGGGGGAAGGGGGAGAAGGATGATATTACAGCTGTGTCAGTAAACCAGTTACGTGGAAGTGGAAGGTGGGGGCTATGAGCACAGAAGCACAGAGCCCTGCTTGCTTTTGAGGCTGTTCCCCATTTCTTTCATCTGCCGGCTTATCCACTAATCACCTCTCTGTGCTCCATTTCCAACCAGCCTCTGTTCTCACCCACTTTCCAGCAAATTCGGTCCCCAGTGGGAAGGACCATGAGTCAGGTGTCAGGACAGAACACGTAGGTCACAAACCATCTGCATGGTCTTTGATAAATGACTTCAACTCCCTGGACCTCAGTAGGCTCAGCTATAATGTATAAAATAAGCCAGGCTTGGGCCTCCCCAGTGGCGCAGCGGTTGAGCACTGCTGGGCTTCGAAGCTGCCCGCAGCTTCCGCAGCACCAGTTTGATCCCCGGCCACAGGCAAGGGTCCCACATGGCGCTCAGACCTCTCCTGCTGCGCCCGCTGCTCCCCTCAGCAGTGTCCTCCATCTGTCTGCCTGTTCTGCTCCCTGCTCGAGGTCTGGTGAATTCTCTCGCCCTCCCGTGCTTCTGACTGTACCCAGTGCTTGTATAAATAAATAAATAAATCTTAAAAAAGAAAAGAAAAGCAACACTAAATAAACAAACAAACAAGCAAACAAACAAATAAATAAATAAAAGAAAACTGCTAAAAAACAATAAAAAAAATAAAATAAGCCAGGCCTGGGCTTATGAACTCCCTGCTGGCTCTGCACAAGGACAGAAATCTAAGTCTGTTCTTCTTCCTCTCTTTGCCCCTCCCTCCTCCTCTGCTAACCCTCTCCCACTCCTGGGCCGCCCAGCCCTGATTTGCTTGCTGGGGGCCTGGCAGGGGGAAGCTGCTGGGCCCAGGTAGAGAACAGTGGTCTGCCGGGTGGTCTGAACCCAAAACCCCTACCAAGAGAAAACTTCAACTTCCCTGCAATACATTTATATTTATTTCCTAGTCGATTTACACATGACTTCTGAAAGAAAGTCCCATGTACATCATGAAACAGAAACTTAACAGGCTAAGATTTTTTGAAATTGATTTAAACGGGAATTCCTTCCAGCCCTGAGTGGACCACCTTGGGCACCAGGAAGGAAGGCAGGCAGGGGCTGTGTCTTCCTCCTGCCCAGGGGGAAGGGAAGGGCCCAGGCGTGTGCCCCTCAGGACACAAGCTGGCCACTAGGGAGGCTCAAGCCGGCCACCAGGACAGGAGGGGGAAGGTAAAGGGCTTACCTTGTTCTTAATTTTCCTCCGGATCTTCTTCAGGGCCTTCTCCTCTGATTTTGTTAGGGGTAACTTGGTGGGGATGGGATAGCCCTCAGCGATCAGGGTCCTCTTCTCCTCCTCTGTCAGGACCAGGGGGCCTGACCCCTGCAGTTTCTGGGCAGATCAAGGAAAAGGGCCAAAGATGGACAAGGCATCGTGCTAGAGACATGCCTCCCGAGGGCTGAGGGGATCTGGCACAGCATCTCGCAGGGGACTGAGAGAAGAGGATGCCCATCTGCTTTGTGCAAGAGAGGGTTACTATGAAGTGGAAGCAGAGCTGGAGAAGATGCATTGAGTGGGTGCTGTGGGCCAAAGATTGTAATTACAGGATCAAGCGGTTGCGGGAGGGGAGAAGGGAACCTCCTCCCATTATTTCTAGAAGGTTACCCCAGTGGCTAAAACATCAAAAGTAAAAGGTTGGAGTCCCTCACCCACACACCCAGGGCTTTTGTGACTTTAAGTCATAAAGGATGGACTGACAGCTGCTTGTGGGCAAGAGCTTTGACTTCTCCTAAAAGTGCAATTTTGCAAGAAGCCCAGACACAGGGGAAGTCCCTTCTTATCTCTACTTCCTGCTGAGTGGCCGGGGTTCCAGGGACACACCTGCAGCCCTTTTTTCATGGGCACTGGCACCAGCACCAGCCCAGGTGGTCCACCTTCAGAGAGGATGAGAACTCAGAGGACGTGCTGTCATCATTAAACAACCCGAGTGACTCCTGCGATCAGTTCCATGTCAAATGCCATGAAGGGATCAAAACAGACTCTCCAAGGAGCTTATGATGGAGACTGAGGCTGAACGGACACCCATGAAAGGAAGGAGCAAATAAATGCTGAGCCATTAAGATGAGTCTGTGTGCTAAGAGAAGCTGAGGATAGGGGACCCTCCTTGAGGGGGCCTGGTTGGCATGCAGAGAGCAGGGCATTCCAAGCAGAAGGCAGTGTTGACAGAAGGAACTGAAGATGCAGCAGCTCTCCCCAGAGTGGGTAAGGAGTTCCAGAAGCAGCAGTCTGGGGACACCAGGGGGCCTCTGGCACCAAGCAGCGTTATCAGGGCTTGACACCAGCAGCTAAAAGGAAAACATGGACTGTCGCTGAGCAGGGGGTGGCGTGGGAGGCCCACTCCATGCGCAGGAAGCCCGGGTTGACTGTGGAAGGTCAGACACTATTTCAGTGACTAAAGGAGCAGTCATGTGGCGATGAGAAAGGAGCGTTCATTCTCTTGGCCTCAGCAACAGTGATACGTAAGGATAGGGCCACAGATCTAGAACTTTCTGAGCAGACTGAATTCAGATTTTCAAAATGATGTTAACTGACCATTTCTAGAGAATTTTAAAACATCTGATTTCACTGAAACTTGCACTCCCTGGTAAATTCAATGAGGGTGATTAAAAATTTTAAGACTTCATAAATCTCCATTATCTCTTCAGAATAAGGAGTATATTACCCAACCATATTTTTTATTTGGAAAATAGCACCCTTTTATATATGTGGAGTGAATGATGACTCATAACCTCTAATCAGAGCCACTAAGTGAAAAGTTGTGTCACAGACATAAAAGGGCTTGAATGCGTTTAATCTCGGAGCTTTAAATTCCTCAAAGATTGCTTTATTTAAAAATAATTTAAGTTGTGTCCATGTTGTAGGTCATAAGGACCACCTAACTTCATGGTAAATATTTGTGATAAAATTTTGAGGACATAACACATTTTTATTCCTTATGTTATACCTGTGTAAAATAACCATGAATAAAAATGGCAAGTGAGCACAGAAAAACCAAACAGAGTAATTACATGGTGAGAAGAGCTGTTTTTAAAAAAATGTCCTTTGATATTGTTGTCTCACCCCATTTTGCCATTAAACACAAACTTCCCTTTCAAGAGTAAAAATCAAGTGGCCTTATTTGAGACAAGGAGAGAGCTGGAAGGAATTGATGCCAAGTGAAATAAGTCAGGAGGACAAAGTCCAATACCCAGGGTGTTGCTTACATGTGGAATAAGGAGACCGGACAAAGGGTCAGGTAAAGCCAAACCAGTAACAACCCTAGAAATCTGACTGTAGATCTGAGGCGACTAGAGGGGGAATTGGACAGCAAAGTGGCCATAGGGCCCAGTGGACTGTGGGAGGACTGTGGGTGCCTTGGTGGTGGGTGGGGTGTGGTAACAAAACCTGAAGGGGGTGACCCCACACCTCTAAACCACACACAACATTGTGAACCAATGTTACCTCAAAAAAAAAAAAAAAATAAGTGGCCTTGAGCGGCACTCACTCTGGGCGAAGCTCCGAGTGATGGGGGAAAGCGTTCAGGTTCCCGGATAGGGACACTCACGTGGGGCGCAGTGAGAAGCGGAGACGTGGAGAGCGCAGAGGGGGCCCGCGGCCCTGCGCGGCCTGGGCTGTGGGTCTGGGGCAGGCCGAAGGGATGCAGCCGTGGGTTGGGGCTCAGGCTGCCCTCCGAGTCGCTGCTGTGGCTGCTGGGAGGGGTGGGCGGTAAATGGAGGTGGTCCACGGAGGCTGAAGGACAGAAGGGGATTCCATCGTCAGAGCGCAGCATGGTACTTGGGGGGACTTGGGGGCACTTGGACAAAGCGGCCCCAGGGCCCAGCTAAGGAACAAGGAGCCTTCAGGCCCGATGCAGAGAGATCTCCAGGAGCAGAAACAGAAAAGGAAATGGTTCAAGTCGCCGCCTTTTGTATGGAACAGGCAGAGCAAGATAAAGAGACTCCTGTGTACGTTTGTATCTGCACAAAGAACCACTAGAAGACTCCAAGAAACTAATGAAATTGTGACCTAGTCGGAGAGGTATGTTATTGGGGCAGAGAATGACCCATCGTGTTGGCCCAGCTTTTCACCGTATTATTCATTTTAAACTGTTTTTATAGTTTGCCTGTATTATAAGGCATTTTCATGCATAGTGTACTTTAAAAGACTCTTAAAAATTAAAAAATTGAAAAACCTGGAAGGTGGGGAGGTGGTTCCCCATAACTGCTGGGAGAAAAGCTCATTTGTCTGGGGAGGAATGTGTGGTAACGTCCACAGGCAAGACGCCAGGCATTCCTCACTCGGAGAACACTAAATCTACCCGTAGACAGGGGTGTGGGAACTGGAAGATAAACGCGCAAGGAGGGGCTTTCTCCTCCAAAGGCCCGGAGCACCTCAGAGCCCTGTTGGGGGCGGGGGGAGCACATATACTCTCTTCCAGGCCCCCCGCCCCAGCCTATGTCCCTCAGGCACCAGCATCTGGGGCCTCACACACCTGGGCTTGCCCCGCCTGAACTACGGGGACTGGGAAAAGGCTTCCTTGGGTCTCTTCCTGTCTTCTTCGAGCAGACACTGCCCAAGCTTCCACAGACGGGAAGGGCCTTTCTGAGTCACCACTGCTGACCTCAGAAAAATGACGCCCCGGAACTGCCTTTGGAGGTGACTCCTTCTGAGATGCCCACATAGCCAACGTGACTGCAGGAGACGGCCCTCTTGGACACCCCTTTCCTCTGCTCTCCTCCCATTCACAGGGTTTCTTCTTTTTTCTCTTTCTCCTCCCTCCTTTCTCTCTCTCTCTCCCCTTTCTTGCTGTCTCTAACATATTGTTTCACTCTAGAAATATTTTCTTTTTTCTCTGCCGAGTCTGACTGAGTCTGGTTGCTTTCGTGTGCATCTACGAGCACTCTTCAGGCTCAAGAAGATTCTAAAACAACCCTGCATACCTCTGTGGCCAATACTCCTGCCAGCAGCCCCAGCAGCTGAGGAGGGCAAGCCTGCGCCTTAAATTTGAGTTTGGCTGGAAAGGCGGAGTCCTGACAGTGTTCACCAAGGCTTCCCCAAAGCCACAAACCCCGAGGGCCCAAACACAGCAGAAGGCGAGGCTCGGCGAGCAGGGGCGCCTGCTACAATCCTGGAGAATACGAACAGCACCTAGCGCTGGCCTGCCCTTCACTCAGCACCATCCAAATCACTCTAATCCTTTTCTCCTTTCCAACTTGGGGATGCCCCCCCAGAAAGGAAGTGGCAGGACAGGAAAAGGGAAGCAAACCTGGATCTGCCCTCTGTCCTTTGGCCCTAACAAAGGAACACAGGACAGGGCTGCAGTACCTCAGTATCAGATTTCTAAATATCACTTAAAATGCCACACCAAGGTCACTGAAAGTGCTGGAACAACAAGTGACTTTGCCTAGAAGCTCTGATGCATTCAAAAATATTGAATTTCTTGATCTCTTTATCTAGCATAATGAGGGAGGAGCCACAATTTACTTTTCTCTGGAAACATGACTCCTCAGTGATCTCACATTCTGAAGCCAACATGGGGTTCACTGTTAGAATTATGACACTTTCTGAATCATCTCACAACATAAATAAAAGAGCAAGCGTATTTGAGAGTAACACCTGGTGTCATAAAAATGAAGGGAATTGCTGTGAAGTAGTGTATAATGCTGAGGGCACAAACACCTCTCACCCACTGCAAAGAAAGGTCTTGACACAGACCCGAGGCATTGATCTTACATTTTAAAACAATTCATTAGCGAAAAGAAAGGCAAAGGAAAGCCCTGATTAAACTGTCATCCATCAAGTCCTGAGTTCGTTTCTGGTGCAAAGAAGGTAAACTATGCTTTCAGAAGAGCGTCATATGTGACACCCACACTTTACGTATAGCGGGTCCTCAAACAACATGGCTTCATTCAACGTTGTTTCATTATATGGCTGTTGAGAAGGAAAAATGGATTGTCACTGAGGCTACTGTCTGTGGAATTGGCATGTTCTCCTATTTTCTGGGTGCTCTTGTTCCCTCCCATACCCCGAAGATGTGCTTGTGAGCGTCAGTGGTGTGTCTTGATTGCCCCAGTTCAGGGGGTGTGAGTGCGGGTGTGATGTGGGTATGTTTGTGGGTGTGATATGAGTGTGGGTGATGCAACCCGAGATGGAAGGGCATCCCGTCCAGGGGTGTTATTTGCCTTGTACCCTGAGCTGCTGGGCTTGGCTGTGGCCCCAGGAGACCCTGAGCTGGAATAAGAGGGTAGGAGAAATGAATGTGTGAATGAATTCAAATGATGGCTTCATATCACAAGTGGTTCGGGTCTCTATTAGAACTTTGGTGATATCTTGGTGAACAGAAATATGCAGAAGGAAGCAACTCTTATTTATATCAGTTAGTTTATGGCTGTTTTGCTCAAAGTTGCACTTCCCAAGAGCCTATTGACAGCGTTCACCATGGTGCACATGACTTTTCTATAACAAATGCATATGTCTGTCCTTACTTATTGACCACGCTGATAAGCTTTTTCTAAACTTATACTAAGGTGCAAATAAAAAGGGATGTAAGGGGCAAAGAATTAAGAAAAGGTGAGAGGTATCTGGATGAAGAAGGCAGAGAGCTCATTTCCACGAGGTGTAGGGGCCTGGGTTCAGGAGTCCTAACTGGGGTCTGAGGGAAACCAAGAGGGGGGTGTCAGAAGGAAATCAATGCAGAGGAAGAATAAAGTGAGAGTGTGACAGCTTCAGGGCTGGTAGGGCTTAATTTTAAATGGATGGCAAGAATGAATACTACGCATAGGCAGGAGACCCCTCACAGCCACTGTCACCCAAACTAACCTTCAAAAAACAGGTATTGCTCACCTGGTGAATTCACTTTACCATGGGTTCACACTAGGGCTGTGTCTAATAGACCAGGTGCCCGTGTGGGTGTCTGTTTCCACCATCACTCCAGTTTGGGGACACCAGGATGGCATGAGGAGAGCAGACCTTATCTTCACTGGAGCCTAAATTGCAGCAGTAACCCCAGTACCCACTCCTGCCATCTCCCTTCTCCCGAATCGCTGCCCTGCCATGTGGCCACCTGGAGAACGCAGGGAGGGCAGACAGACCTTCTTTAGGAGAGAAGTTCAGGAACTGATCCACTTCATGAGGTTCCAGCTTAATCTTCGGAATAACGGTTTGGCATGAGGAATCAATCTAAGGAAAGAATTTCAAACACAGAATTTCAAAACCAATAGCAGGAAAGAAGCATAAGGGACTACGGTGGTGGACTACAGGTGATTTGGTGGTGGATGCACCATGGTGGCGATGTCTGATGGAGTTATCCAAATATTTCCCCAATTAAAAATAATTAAATAAATAAGAATAAAGTCGAAAGAGATTGCCCAGAGAGCTAGCTAGCTAGCTGTCATCTCTATCTTCCCTGGGGCAGCCCTGCTCCTCCACAGCTGACAGAGGCCCCACAGAACAAGCTGCTTCTTTGAGAGGGGCCTTTCCATTCCTAACTAGTGGTAATATAAGACATTAACATTATCATCAAATATCCCAGCCACAATTTTAAGGCCCACAGGCTCCCACCAATGTGTCCTGCAAGTAGGAAGTGGGAGAACCAAGCTGCAACTCTTCCGGCCAGGCTTCCACGTGACACGTGACCAAGAAATGCTCCATAGGAACACAAAAAAGGTATCTGTCCCATAGACTGGGAGCAGAGTCTTAGTTAACACTTGAAAATCAACTCAGTTAAAATCATGCAGAGCAAGGGGCCTCCCTGGTAGGGCAAGGGGTTAAGATGCAACACTATGAAGCTATCCGCAGCCACTGCAGCAAGAGTTCGAATTCCACCCAGGGAGCTACCCACATGGTGCAGCAGACCTCTGCTGACTCGCCCGCTGCTCCCCTCAGCAGTGTATTTCAGTTCTGTCTGCTCTGCAACCTGCTCTGTCTCTGGTGAATCCTCCTATACCCCACATCCCTGGCCTGCACGCAAGCTCTTGTATGCATAAATAAATAAATCTTAAAAAAAAAAATCATGCAGAGCAAAAGGACTAACACATACTGTTGAAGCCAAACCCAATCGACTCAGGCTCTACTGAGAAGGGAATTCCAGAGGGGAGCAGCAGATGTGCTCTGCCTGCAGGCCTTCCTCCCCTTCCACCTCCATCCATGCAGGTGGAACACTGAGAAAGGGGAATGCAGGGAAGCCTTAGGGGCCTACCTGCTTCCACGTCACCTGTCCTGAACAAGCAGACTACTTACTACGCCTTGTTGGGGACAATCCAACTTAAGGAATGCCAGTGGGGTCAACGCTTATAGCCTGAGGCTTTGAACTCAAAGGATGGCTAGGACTGGTTTCTAACATCGCAAACCTACCAACATCTGGATGTATCAGAATGAGTCTGATGCACCAGCATAGACGGGAAAGGTCTGGAGGGAAGGCAGAGTAAAACAAACTTCTACTTGCTGTAGATGTGGAATACAGCAAGGAAGAAAGCCCCAGTCTCATGTGCTTTCCATGGTGTCACAGTGAGAACTGGTCAGTGGGGAATCCCCAGACTGGGTCAGGGCAACTCAGCAGTGTCCTAGGAGAGCTAAGTGTGGCATTCCCAAGAGCCCTGGCGAGCTGTGGATTGCTCCATCGCCTTAGTATCTTCCTTTCCACTGGCTAAATTTAGCTAGTGAAGAATTCTTTTTATTTTTCAGCCATGGATATGTTTTTTTTAATTTGCAGCAGCATTCTAGAGAAAATGAAATCAGATTCATTACCAATTCTGTGGACAATGCCTTAAAAAAAAGGAAGTGATATCATCAATGCTGACAGCACTTCAATATTGTCTTCAGATAGCCAGCCAGTCATACATTGATATATCTCCTTAAACATATACAACCGCTCATTTTAAAAATATTAACGAGGGACCTCCCTGCTGATGCAGGGGTTACAGATAGCACTATCAAGCTATGGCCAGCCACTACAGCAGGAGTTCGATCCCTGACTGGCCAGGGAGCTACCCACATGGCACAGCAGACCTCTCCTGTCTCCGCGCTGCTCCCCTCAGCAGTGTATTTCAGTCAGTCTGCCTGTTCTGCTCCCCACTCTCTCTGGTGAATCCTCTTACCACCCATACCTATGCCTTATACCCCAGTTCTTGTATGCATAAATAAATAAATCTTTAAAAAAGCAAAAATATTAAATGCCTTATTGGAGAATGAGGATCTATATCTTTTGACCCAATCTGTTTGGATGAGAGAAAATTGAGTATACCCCAGTGTTCATTTCCAGAGGGGACTCCTCCTTTTCAAAAGGGGTAGAGATGGCAGTGATGGTCAGAGTGACAGAGGGGACAAGTCCTGGGGGTGGCTCGTCCGTGATGGGCTCTGTCTTGATGGTTGTTGAAGGGAAGTCTGTAGACAGGTACCATTTCTCATTTTCCACTTCATCTGTGGGAAAAAGACAAGCACACGTGAGAACGTGAGCAGGCGTCAGGCGTAGGACAAATGACTACTGAGCATTGGTCTCAAAGGAAGTTACTTTAACTGGGCCTCTATGGTGGTGCGAGGGTTAGAGTCTCAGGGCTGTCAGGCCATCTCCAGCCAATGTGGTATGATTTCGATCCCCAGCCAGGGAGCTGACCCACATGGCGCAGCAGACCTCTCCTGTCTCTCCCGCTGCTCCCCTCAGCAGTGTATTTCAGTAGATTTGCCTGTTCTGCTCCCCACTCTGTCTCTGGTGAATCCTCTCACCCCCAACCCCTATACCTCTGGCCTACACCCGAGTTCTTGTATGCATAAGCTAAAAAAAAGTTTAAAAAACACAAAGAAAGGGAGTTACTTTAACAAAGAATGACGGAAAGTAGAAAAAAATAAAGTGAGGATGAGCAGCGAGATAAATGGATAAAAAAAATGAAGGGCAAGGTAAGCCTCCAGACTTCTATTCTTTTGAAGTGGAGCTAGAAGAAACTGGAAGAATACATAGGAAAGAAAGAAACTTGGCTTGGGGCAGAGCAGAAGGAGCCAGGGTGCATGGGGAACAAGATAGGAGGGAGAATTTCAACGTGTAACATTTTAGAATTTTTAGTTTTCACACAGTGATGTGTTATCTATTCAAAAATAAACAAACAAGTATATTTAAAATAAGAAAGGAGCAAATGACTGGCAAACAATGAGCAAGTGACTCTCTTAGGAGCGAGAACCAGGCTAGGTGTCAATCTGTCTACCAGTGGATGGTTATTTGCCTTCCTGTTTTTTGTGTTATTTTTTCCTCATTCACTGTCTTTTGTCTTTGTCTGTGTCCCCTGGACCCCATTTTTGCCTTAAACCTGACCAAGTCTCCCAGAACTGGACTTAGCTTCTGGGAAGCTCGGAAGTTCATAGGACACGCCTGCCCCTGGCTGAAATGGACTAAATACTCCTCCGGAGAAAAGGGCTGATCTCGGCAAGTAAGGCTGTAGGCTTGTCGCTGCTTTTGTAATTATCACAAAGCCTGGGACAGCAGCAAAGCAGCAGGATGAACAGAGGAAAGTACCTCTGGCTCTCATCACCCTCCCAGGAGCCTGGCAGCACCCCTTAGCGACACCAGTTTTGCTAAAATAAAGCAACGACAAGCTCCCTTGCTTGATGAAAATGTTTAAACACACACCACCTTCGTGCTTGACTGCGCAGGGGGTGCAAAGTCACTCACAATATGAAATATTCTACACACAAGGATCTGAGTCTTCTTATGACAAGGGACATAAAAATCTTTTATAACTGCCAGGGGTGAGGGGAAGGGCAAAAACAGAAGCTAAAAATGAAAGTTCACGATTATTAAAATGGTATTTCATAAGCAACTCCCTTCAAACATGGGAAGAAGTTAGATCCACGTTCACAAAGGAATTGATTCCCCCCCTGAATCCAATTTAGAATGTACTGGGTGAGTGATGCCAGTCCCCGCTTATTTCCTGGAGGTAAAATAAAGACGGGCAAGACTTCTGTTGGTTGATGATGGTTTGCTTATAGAGCTTGTCCTATCGAGCTGCCGAGGGGTGGTGTGATGGAGGAATTTCCACCTCTCACTGGGGCGTGGGCGACATCCTGACCGAGGGGGAAAGGGTGGGAACAAAGGGCCTTTTGATGGAGACCAGTGGAGGAGACCACACTGTACTTGACACAGAATTCTGCTGATCGGCTGGGTGCCCTGATGAGGAACCAAAAGAAGATTCTAAGGACACTCTGAAAAGGAGCTTAGACACTGGAGGGCTGTCACCTGCGGAAGACACCCTCAGGTGATTTCCAGACAACTGGAGAAGCAGAGAATACAGATCACAGCAGTGACAGGCTGATCCTCTGTTATTTGAAGCCAACACCCAACAGCCTGTTCACATGGAGGAGTTTATCCCCGGCGGAGGCCAGGGGAGAGAAAGATGAACTACAGCTTCAGTGTACACTGAAATAAGCCTAAAGGTGCATCCCTAAGAAATAGACAGGCAGTTACCGGGAAGCTGGGCGGGAAGGCCAGACCCTCTCAACCTGTAGTTTTGATTACTGCAATAAACCAGATTCTTGAGGCATTAACAAATACAAAATGACAAGACAGAGTGAAGGTGGGTAATGAAGTGAGTTCTTCCAGTCTAGCTAAGCCATTCTCAAAGCGCATGTGTCTCTAAAATAGGACAAGAGTCTACAGTCTCATGTTCAGTGTCCTACACCCCTATTTTAACATTATATATAATCATCGCTGAGTCAGGGATGGAGACTGAAGGACAAGTGACGATTCTTGATACTTGAATTATGATACAAAAATCTCCTTCAAGGATAACCGAACTCTTCCAGTAGAGAAGCCCAAAAGAAGTTCCTTTTCCTCTCCTGAGCTTTTCTGATGGCAACTGCTGTTGCCTTCAGGCTTCCACTCCAATACAGCGATCTAATCCTCTATCTTGAAAGTGTTGTTGGGGTTAGAAGAAATTTGGCCATCAAGTTGAAATATGTCATTTTATAGATGAGGAAACTGATAGGCAGGTCTAGATCACACAGCAAAAGTGGTAGGACCCAGGGGCTTCCCCAATAGCGCAGTGGGTTGAGCACCGTGCTGTGAAGCTGTCCACAGCCTCTGCAGCGTGGGTTCGATTCCTGGCTGGCCAGGGAGAATCCCATATGGCGAGGCAGACCTCTCCTGTCTCACCAGCTGCTCCCCTCAGCAGTGTATTTCGGTCCTTCTGCCTATTCTGCTCACCGCTCTGTCTCTGGTGAATTCTCTCACACTCCCGCGCCTCTGGCCTTGTACCCCAGTGCTTGTATAAATAAATAAATCTTTAAAAAAAGCTCTCCGCACCTGGCAGTATCCTTTCCAGTGAGAAAACAACAAAACAAATGGGCAAAGATTTTTGCACAAATATGCTCATTATTGCATCATTATTTATAATCACAAAACACTGAAAATAACCAAAACATTCAAAAGCAAAGGTTAATAAATTATGGCATATCCATACAACAAAATATTTCTCTAGCCAGTAATATTACATGTTACATGTATAAAGCCCTTTTAAAGCAAGGTAAAGATTTATATGGAATATTAAGGGATAATACCTAGATATAAATTTATATACTGTTAGTAAAGAACGTGATAGCAAGGAAATATGCCAAAATAGCACAAATTGCTCTAGAGAATAACTCAGAGCATGAGCAACTTTTGTTTTCTTTAAATTTTATACTATTTCAACATTTCCTGTACTGAGACTGTATTAATAATCCCAGGATGATCATTATTAGACATGGTTTGCTTCTTCCTGTTCCACTTTATGTCTGATGATGGTAATTATTACATAGAGATCCCAGAGGCTCAAGCGGCCCACTCAGTATCCCTTGATTCAAAAAGATTCAATGAGTACCGTAATATACGCAATAAGTTGCAGTTCTGGCTCCACTTCTTCACTCCTCCCTCTACCCATGTCCTCTTATCAATAATTTTGCTGTGCCCACCCCCTGTGGACCAATCCCCACCCTGGAATTAGCCACATGACTTGCTTTGGCCCATGGGATATAGGTTTCTTAATGCAAGTGGAATCTGGAAATATTCTGGCATGATTGGACTTAAACTCTTGTACTTCTGCCATCACAAGGAGAAGGATATGCCAGGATAATCTACCGATTCCAAGGATGGCTGACACACAAAAACAGAGTCATCCCCAAATGAGATTCGTCAAAATCAGTCAGTTCTCAGCTGGCCTTAGACATGTGAGTGGATCTCGTAAAAAGCAGGATAATCACTCCATCGCTTCCCACCTAAATCAGTCAACCTCCAGTCAAAACATAGGCTAGACATATGAGCTATAATAGATGATGTTAAAACGCATGAATTTGGGGGTGGTTTGTTATATAGCAAGAAAGCTACCTGATACATTACGGCTGAATGTGTACACAAGAAATGAAATCTGGGACATCTGAGCAAAACAGCTATACCTCATTTCCAAACCATCAACTGGAAACGATGTGAATAATTATTTGTAGAATGAGAGATTAGTCCTACCAGTTACATAATAAAACAGATGACTTCAGATGAAGATGGTCAGCCAGCAAGAAGTTTGGTGAGAACAACATTCCAGTGGCAGTTGAAATTAGAGAAAAGAGCTTTCACTCTAAACTACTGGGTGTTGGCTTGTACTCTGTCCCTCAATGGAAATAAAAATCAAATCAGAGAAAACAAAATGACAAAAGAAACCTATGAGGTAGGGGGTTCACAAGGGATAAAGGGACCAAAATAAGTAGAACATATATTTTTTTCACATGACTTAAATTTAGAGTTTTATTTTATTGGCAAAAAGACCAGTAAGACCGCCATTACTTAGAATGGGAATCATTTACAGAAGTTTGAGTTATTGGCTAATGACAAAAGTAAGAGTTGGTACACACTCTACCCCTTTTACTCTCTAGAATTTGAAGTTCAGATATTAAATGAAAAATTTTCCCCCTAAAGTGTGTTTACATGCCTTGTAAGTTTCATTTCAGAAGGAAAACATCACCCAGAAAGGTCAGCGGTGCACACTGTAGGGAGTAAGAACAACACCCACCATGTCATCTGATTTTATTTAAACAGTTTCCTGTCGAAGGTCAAACTCAGCTGGCGCATGTCCTGAGCATCACCACTTAGCTATCAGCAAGAAAATAAAAACAAGCCACTGTCTCATGGTGATGAGCAAGTCCTTTGTGTCTGAGGACAAAATGGAGCAGCTTGAGCAATGAGGCCAGACACCAAGTTTGCCAAGGCTTGAGGGTGGACAGAAGGGCTAAAAAGCCACAAAATCAAAGCCAACATAGACAGAAGCAATACCGAATTGCAGAGCCTCAGTTATTTCCACATGTGCACTTCATAAAAGATCATATTAAATAGATATGAACTCCAGAGAAGGAGAAATGATTAGACATAAAATTGGAAGTTGGTCATATCTTTACAAATGTTATACACA